TCCCTTTCTTCCACCCATGCAAAAATAAAATGTGAATCAGTGGTGTAGGGAGACGTTATATTACTCACCTGGCCACATACTCAGACTTTGTAGTAATTTGTTTATTAACAAAGTCTATTAGAATGTATATTATTTGTCTCCATAAAGAAAGTTTTATGAGTTATCGCTGACTAAGATCAAGAAATGGTCATTAGATACGAATTATAAATGCAAGTATTTAATAACATTGTATTTTAGAATTCATGCCTTTTACAAGGCAAACTCATGTTACGAGACATCACTGGTGATGCGCTACTGCCCCCTGGTGTCCGAGGAAAACATGACAGCCACACAGGGGCATGAACACACTTATACTGTACGTTGTACAACACATCCATATACCAGTAGTATAACTTCATTCAGAAGCAAAAACAGAAACATTTACAGCCATTCAACAAAATGGTTGGTAGAATTGTTTTATGTTTTACAATGCTGAACTGAAATCTGTAATATATCTTCATATAGACCACAATGGAAAATTGAAGATTAGATAGCCCGTAAATGTTTTACCACGCGCATTTCAACTGAAATGAATACATAACACTTGTGTTGTTTATTATGCTAATAGTAACCTCTGAAGAACATCTATCCTTGGGACCCAACCCAAGTAGTGCTCCCTATCTTTTGTTTACCCTGTGCTGAACACAAGGTGTGTCAGAATGACATACCATAACTCCCAGTTCCTTCAGTTTCTGTAAGTTCATGGTGAGTATTTAAGTGTAGCTACCCTGTCCCAGTGAAGGTTATGAATGGCTGGACTGATAACTGTGAGAAAGTTCAGTCATCAATCCCATTTCTATGACATTGTGCCACAAAACCAGTGAAGATTAATCTAATTAAAACACACATCCAACACACAAGTACAAACAGATTTCACTACAGCCCTTTCTTAATTGTCATCTTTGAAAACATTCCTTCCCTGAATATCTTTGGACCTGTAGTAAGACAACCTTCAAAAAGGCACATCATTCATCGGAGAGAGATTTTGTTTACTTTAAGGGCTTTCACTCCGTGTTGTTAAAAACCTCTTCATCACGAGGTTCCCCATATCCGGGGTACTCCTCCCGCAATCTCAAACAATGACGTAGTACGGTTTTTAAACGTGTGAATACCTGAATGTTACACACTACTGGAACGAGAAGCGTCTCAACTGTGAATCTAGCTAAACTGTTGTTTGAAGATTAAGTCAGTAGTTTGTTTCAATCACAACAGGCACTGTTTTGTCGCCATCTTCTGGATATATGATGCAATCACAGTGGCTTGCAATTGTGCTAATTTAATTCTACTGATCCAGAGCTTTCAATAGAGGTTGTCAAAATCGGCAAAATTGACCAACCGGTTGTTGAAATATCCAAGTGCGCACCTCATTGTCTCATATTAGTTGACTTGCTGCATTACGCACGGTTACGCAGAGAGCACAACAGCACTTGAATTTCGGAGGGAAAACGCAAAGTTTATAAAAATATGGCAGGCTCTAGTAACAAATATACAGTTACAGAGGCGTTATTAATTGTAACAGATGAAAGTTGGACTCCATGTATCCCCATTGACTCTGAATCGGACGATGAGGACCTGCTTAGATCGGACGAACCAGACCCCAACGACGAGAACGAAGGTTATCGTGTCCCAGGGCCCTACTCAAGCATCAGAAGAGTATGTAATTCCATTGTTATGTATTACTTATAATACTACTATTACTAATTTACTGTATGAGTACAAAACATACATTCTAAAATATCTATTTGAGTAACTGAAGCTCAACGTAAGTTAGCGCTAGCTTAGTTTAGAGGCCCACACGCAGGTTTACTTACAATAGAATGCTACAGTGAGGGAAAAAAGTATTTGATCCCCTGCTGATTTTGTAAGTTTGCCCACTGACAAAGACATGATCAGTCTGTAATTTTAATGGTAGGTTTATTTGAACAGTGAGAGACAGAATAACAACAACAAAATCCAGAAAAACGCATGTCAAAAATGTTATAAATTGATTTGCATTTTAATGAGGGAAATAAGTAATTGACCCCCTCTCAATCAGAAAGATTTCTGGCTCCCAGGTGTCTTTTATACAGGTAACGAGCTGAGATTAGGAGCACACTCTTAAAGGGAGTGCTCCTAATCTCAGTTTGTTACCTGTATAAAAGACACCTGTCCACAGAAGCAATCAATCAATCAGATTCCAAACTCTCCACCATGGCCAAGACCAAAGAGCTCTCCAAGGATGTCAGGGACAAGATTGTAGACCTACACAAGGCTGGAATGGGCTACAAAACCATCGCCAAGCTGGAATAAACCACACCGCATCAAAGGGATGATGGACGGGGCCATGTACCGTCAAATCTTGGGTGAGAACCTCCTTGCCTCAGCCAGGGCATTGAAAATGGGTCATGGATGGGTATTCCAGCATGACAATGACCCAAAACACATGGCCAAGGCAACAAAGGAGTGGCTCAAGAAGAAGCACATTAAGGTCCTGGAGTGGTCTAGCCAGTCTCCAGACCTTAATCCCATAGAAAATCTGTGGAGGGAGCTGAAGGTTCGAGTTGCCAAACGTCAGACTCGAAACCTTAATGACTTGGAGAAGATCTGCAAAGAGGAGTGGGACAAAATCCCTCCTGAGATGTGTGCAAACCTGGTGGCCAACTACAAGAAATGTCTAACCTCTGTGATTGCCAACAAGGGTTTTGCCACCAAGTACTAAGTCATGTTTTGCAGAGGGGTCAAATACTTATTTCCCTCATTAAAATTCAAATCAATTTATAACATTTTTGACATGCATTTTTCTGGATTTTTTTATTGTTATGTCTCTCACTGTTCAAATAAACCTACCATTAAAATTATAGACTTATCATGTCTTTGTCAGTGGGCAAACGTACAAAATCAGCAGGGGATCAAATACTTTTTCCCCCTCACTGTATGTGTATTATTTCTTGTCACTGAATTATCACTTTAGTCAACATTCTCATAGTTCTATTTATTTTATATATCTGACTGTTTTGAGTCAGATTTGTCAATGAATGAATACAAGTGTGTTTTAGTCATGATTTTCTTTTCTCTTTTGTCTTGTTTGTACATTGAAGATGATTATAGGGGTGATGAGCCACAGCCAGAGCATCTGCCTCCTCAGCCACAGCTTCCCCTTCCTCAGGCAGAGCCTCCTCTTCCTCAGCCTGGCCGCTTGTCTAGACAACGTACTTCTGCTCCCCTCCCTCTGTCACGGTCTTCATCGGACACTGAGTCCCCTGTAAAGAGCCCTCAACCCAAAAGAAAAGGGAAAGCTTTCTCCAAGTCAGCGTGGTGGAGGTAGGCCTGCCACTCCAAGAGTCGGGGAGGAAGAAGAGGAAGAAGAAGATAGGTGGCATAATAGAGAAGAGAATGATGAACGACCAGACCCAATCTGGTTTATGCCCACCAGAGTCCCAGGCCCCACAATCGACACAATCCCCTTTCCTTTATCCGACGCATTGATTGGATACTACAGTGATCACCACAAGACGTTGAAATGGTATAAGACTTTTCTTTTACATTTTGTTGATATTGCTGTTGTAAATAGTTTCCTACTTCACAAATAACTCCATAAGAACAACCCCACTAAGCCGTACACACATAAGAAGTTCAGGGAAAAGCTACTCACAGAAATGGTGAGCTTTGCTAAACAGTCTGAACCACAATCTCCACCACGACCACCACCCTGCATGCCAGAATACTATGGTGATGATGCCAGCAAAGACAGGAAGAACTGTAGGAGATGTCTGGATGTTGGAATCCCCAAAGTGAAAACACCTCTGTACTGCAGGAAGTGCCAAGTCCCTTTGTGCATTACATCAAAGCATAACTGTTTCAAGGATTGGCACGACAGCAAATTTTAGGGTAAAAAGGGTCTACATTTTGTGTGACAACCTTCCCAAGGACACCATATCATTGTTTATAGTTTTGGGATGTGTGGACTTTTTGTTTTTAAATTTGTTTTTTATAGTTTCTAATAAATCTGCTCAGTTTGGAGTCAAACTTTCCCATTGTATGGTTTATTTTAATGGCAACACGTATAGAGGTCTGGGAGAACATTGGAAACAACATCAAAACAGTTGTATTTTGATGGAATGTACACATATAGTGATATGTTAGTGAAATTAAATGCCTTTTGCTGTCTGGTACCTGATAAAAGTCAAATGGCACTGATGGTGCCCAGATGTCTCCATTTGGTAATCCGCCTAAACATACTTCAACTAAAACCCCTACAACTTTGGTTTACTTTACTTTATTGCCATCAAACTTCACATAAGTACTCATCAGATATTGGGCTATGGTCCCATAGTGTTTAGGGGCTGCAGCTTCATAAGTCCAATAAAGCATTCCTTATAAAACCTGAAGTTACTTTCAGGCGAAATCAAAACCTCCCAATTTATGCTGTGTTCTAGCTTCATGTACTCTGACACAGTAATACCCACATTAATTATTTCACTTCAAGATACATCTCACATGTGTTACCTTTCTTTTGCTACCAAGATTATGTTTATAGCCCTTGTCGTTTTGGAGATATACTATATTCAATTTGGGCATGTATTTTTGAGGCAGGCACTTTAGCCAGGTGCCTAGTGATGAAGAGGTTAAAGGCCACTGGGACCATGGCCATAGAGGAAAGGCAAAGCGACAGAAATAACTCCTCCCTTTCTTCCACCCGTGCAAAAATAAAATGTGAATCAGTGGTGTAGGGAGACGTAATATTACTCACCTGGCCACATACTCAGAGACTTTGTCATTTCTTTATTAACAAAAAGTATATTAACTGACTCCATAAAGATAAATAGCAATGTGCAAGCAAATATTATGAGTTATTGCTGACTAAGATCAAGAAATGTAGTATTTAATAACATCGTAAAAGGAATGAATTCCAATATACAAGGCAAAATCATAAGTTACAAGACATCCTTGGTGATAACAAGGCATTAGTCAAGGCATGGAGAGAGAGAGAGAGAGAGAGACCTGCTCCCACCTCCTCCCGCCTGCATTCGGTTTCACGGACATTGATTCCCATTGTTAGAGTGGAGAGTCCAATATCTTGTCAGTATATTCCAAAATCTTTGCCGTGGCTAGAATCAGACTCTTTCAGGACAGGTCGGATAGCCTCTCACTCACCTCCCACAGCTTCCTGGCCAAAGCATCGTCCCGCCCCTTGGCACCTACCTCCTGTAGTGCACAGGAAGAGAAGTAGCGTCCACTCAGCGGCTCGATACCCTCTTGGAGGGCACAGTGCAGGGTGGTCTGGGCTCCCCTCTCAGTATCCATGAAGAAGAGCTTAGTGATGGGCTCTAGAAAGAGCCTCAGCCATAGTTTCAGGTTGCGACCAAACTCAGTGTGAATGACTCCTAAAGGACACGAGAGAAATTGTAGTTTAGTATGGGATGGAATAGAATAAACCACATTGTCTGCAATGTTTTGCAAACACAGTACTGCTGTATAGAAAATAAACACTATACAATACACACTTGACACATACTAACCATCATACAGCCTGTATATAGATAATAGAAAAGCTCAAATGTAAAACAAAGTAAGAAGAATCCCTTCTAGGTTCTCAAGCCAGAGCTACTGACCTGGGTGGAGGTTGTAGGTGGAGAGTTACTGACCTGGGTGGAGGCTGTAGGTGGTGACGCTTGTCCCCTCCAGGCGGTTGGCCAGCTCCCGGGTGAAGAGCACGTTGCACAGCTTGCTGTGGCAGTAGGCCCTGAAGTTATGCCAGGTGGACTGGCCTGGCACCAGATCCTTGTGGGTACCCAGGAGAGCAAAGTCCACAGAGCCTAGCCGGTGTAGGTAAGCCGACACGTTGACAACACGACTCGGACCACACTCCTTTAGCCGGTCCAGCAGCAAGCAGGTCAACAGGAAGTGACCTAAGTGGTTGACCCCAAACGCCATGCCGAACCCATCCTCAGTGTGGCCAGGCCCCAGCATTCCTGAAACAAATCAAATGAAATGTTATTGGTCACACGCGCCGAATACAACAGACGTAGAGTTTACTGTGAAATGCTTACTTACGAGCCCATTCCCAACAATGCAGAGCTAAAAAGTAAGAAAAACATTTTCTAAATAAAAAAGGAAATAGTAGGGCCTCCCGAGTGGCGCAGCGGTCTAAGGCACTGCATCGCAGTGCTTGAGGCGTCACTACAGAGCCGGGTTCGATCCCAGGCTGTGTCACAGCCGGCTGTGACCGGGAGACCCATGAGGCAGCGCACAATTGTCCCAGCATCGTCCGGGATAGGGGAGGGTTTGGCCGGCCGGGATTTCCTTGTCCCATCGCGCTCTAGCGACTCCTTGTGGCAGGCCAGGCGCCTGCAAGCTGACTTCGGTCGCCAGCTGGACTGTGTTTCCTGGCTGGCTTCCAGGTTAAGCGAGCAGTGTGTCAAGAAGCAGTGCGGCTTCACAGGGTCGTGTTACGGAAGACGCATGGCTCTCGACCTTCGCCTCTTCCGAGTCCATAGGGGAGTTGCAGCGATGGGACAAGACTGTAACTACCAATTGGATATCACGAAAAAGGGGTAAAAGTACAACAACAAACAAATATATATATATATATATATACACACATATACATACACACACACACAGTGGGGAGAACAAGTATTTGATACACTGACGATTTTGCAGGTTTTCCTACTTACAAAGCATGTAGAGGTCTGTAATTTTTATCATACACTTCAACTGTGAGAGACAGAATGTAAAACAAAAATCCAGAAAATCACATTGTATGATTTTTAAGTAATTCATTTGCGTTTTATTGCATGACATAAGTATTTGATCACCTACCAACCAGTAAGAATTCCGGCTCTCACAGACCTGTTAGTTTTTCTTTAAGAAGCCCTCCTGTTCTCCACTCATTACCTGTATTAACTGCACCTGTTTGAACTCGTTACCTGTATAAAAACACCTGTCCACACACTCAATCAAACAGACTCCAACCTCTCCACAATGGCCAAGACCAGAGAGCTGTGTAAGGACATCAGGGATAAAATTGTAGACCTGCACAAGGCTGGGATGGGCTACAGGACAACAGGCAAGCAGCTTGGTGAGAAGGCAACAACTGTTGGCGCAATTATTAGAAAATGGAAGAAGTTCAAGATGACGGTCAATCACCCTCGGTCTGGCGTTCCATGCAAGATCTCACCTTGTGGGGCATCAATGATCATGAGGAAGGTGAGGGATCAGCCCAGAACTACACGGCAGGACCTGGTCAATGACCTGAAGAGAGCTGGGACCACAGTCTCAAAGAAAACCATTAGTAACACACTACGCCGTCATGGATTAAAAATCCTGCAGCACACGCAAGGTCCCCCTGCTCAAGCCAGCGCATGTCCAGGCCCGTCTGAAGTTTGCCAATGACCATCTGGATGATCCAGAGGAGGAATGGGAGAAAGTCATGTGGTCTGATGAGACAAAAATAGAGCTTTTTGGTCTAAACTCCACTCGCCGTGTTTGGAGGAAGAAGAAGGATGAGTACAACCCCAAGAACACCATCCCAACCGTGAAGCATGGAGGTGGAAACATCATTCTTTGGGGATGCTTTTCTGCAAAGGGGACAGGACGACTGCACCGTATTGAGGGGAGGATGGATGGGGCCATGTATCGCGAGATCTTGGCTACCAACCTCCTTCCCTCAGTAAGAGCATTGAAGATGGGTCGTGGCTGGGTCTTCCAGCATGACAACAACCCGAAACACACAGCCAGGGCAACTAAGGAGTGGCTCCGTAAGAAGCATCTCAAGGTCCTGGAGTGGCCTAGCCAGTCTCCAGACCTGAACCCAATAGAAAATCTTTGGAGGGAGCTGAAAGTCCGTATTGCCCAGCGACAGCCCCGAAACCTGAAGGATCTGGAGAAGGTCTGTATGCAATGTGGCCAAACCTGGTCAAGACCTACAGGAAACATATGATCTCTGTAATTGCAAAGAAAGGTTTCTGTACCAAATATTAAGTTCTGCTTTTCTGATGTATCAAATACTTATGTCATGCAATAAAATGCAAATTAATTACTTAAAAATCATACAATGTGATTTTCTGGATTTTTGTTTTAGATTCCGTCTCTCACAGTTGAAGTGTACCTATGATAAAAATTACAGACCTCTACATGCTTTGTAAGTAGGAAAACCTGCAAAATCTGCAGTGTATCAAATACTTGTTCTCCCCACTGTGTGTGTGTGTGTATGTATATATATATATCATATATATACACATACATACACACACACACTACCGGTCCAAAGTTCTAGAACACCTACTCATTCAATAAAAATAAAAAATAAAACTATTTTCTACATTGTAGAATAATAGTGAAGACATCAAAACTATGAAATAACACATATGGAATCATGTAGTAACCAAAAAAGTGTTAAACAAATCAAAATATACAGTCTTGAAGGAGTTCCCACATATGCTGAGCACTTGTTGGCTGCTTTTCCTTCACTCCGCGGTCCGACTCTTCCCAAACCATCTCAATTGGGTTGAGGTCGGGGGATTGTGGAGGCCAGGTCATCTGATGCAGCACTCCATCACTCTCCTTCTTGGTAAAATAGCCCTTACATAGCCTGGAGGGGAGTTGGGTCATTGTCCTGTTGAAAAACAAATGATAGTCCCCCTAAGCCCAAACCAGATGCGATGACATAGTCGCTGCAGAATTCTGTGGTAGCCATGCTGGTTAAGTGTGCCTTTAATTCTAAATAAATCACAGACAGCAGCAAAGCACCCCCACACCATAACACCTCCAAGCTTTACGGTGGAAACTACACATGCGGAGATCATCTGTTCACCCACACCGCGTCTCACAAAGACACGGCAATTGGAACCAAAAATCTTCAATTTGGACTCCAGACCAAAGGACAAATTTCCACCGGTCTAATGTCCATTGCTCGTGTTTCTTGGCCCAAGCAAGTCTCTTCTTCTTATTGGTGTCCTTTAGTAGTGGTTTCTTTGCAGCAATTCGACCATGAAGGCCTGATTCACACAGTCTCCTCTGAACAGTTGATGTTGAGATGTGTCTGTGACTTGAACTCTGTGAAGGATTTATTTGGCGTGCAATTTCTGAGGCTGGTAACTCTAATGAACTTATCCTCTGCAGCAGAGGTAACTCTGGGTCTTCCATTCCTGTGGCGGTCGTCATGAGAGCCAGTTTCATCATAGTGCTTGATGGTGATTGCGATTGCACTTGAAGAAACGTTCAAAGTTCTTGAAATGTTCCATATTGACTGACCTTCATGTCAGTAATGATGGACTGTCGTTTCTCTTTGCTTATTTGAGCTGTTCTTGCCATAATATGGACTTGGTCTTTTACCAAATAGGGCTATCTTCTGTATACCCCCCTACCTTGTCACAACACAACTGATTGCCTCAAATGCATTAAGTATTCCACAAATTAACTTTTAAGAAGGCACACCTGTTAATTGAAATGCATTCCAGGTGACCACCTCATGAAGCTGGTTGAGAGAATGCCAAGAGTGTGCAAAGCTGTCATCAAGGCAAAGGTTGGCTATTTGAAGAATCTCAAATATATTTGGATTTCTTTAAAACTTTTTTGGTTACTACATGATTCCATGTGTGTTATTTCATAGTTGAGATGTCTTCACTATTATTCTACAATGTAAAAAATAGTAAAAATAAAGAAAAACCCTTGAATGAGTAATTGTTTCCAAACCCTTTACAGGTAGTGTATATATGAAATAGTAACACAAAATAACAATAACGAGGCTATTTACAAAGAGTACCAGTACTGTGTCAATGTGCAGGGGCTTGAGGTAATACAGTATGTACATGTAGGTAGTGGTAAAAGTGACTAGGCAAACAAGGTGACAGACAGTGAGACCAGAGACAGGGAGTTAGGCAACACATGATGGCCAAGTATTTCTGTCTTCAAATTAGTGTATAATTGTATTTGTTTACTTTCCCTCTCTCTCTCTCCGCCATACCTGCATTGTTAATGAGCAGGTCCAATCTGGGCTCAGTCTTCAGGAAGGTTTCAGCAAAGGAGCGAACAGACTTCAGACTCCCCAGATCCAGCTGCATGAACACTACCTCATTGCTTCCACTGTCCTATAGAACAGAGGAATCAAACAGTGGATTTCCAACACCATACATTTTCAGACAGGTTAAACAAATCCCTGATCAGTATGTATTGGGATGCCGACTCCACAACCTTATATTTAGATTATTTATATTCTAAATAAGGCCCTCTTACCCTTCTGATATCATAGACGGCAGCCTCAGCTTTCGGTTTGCTGCGGCAGGCGAGGATGACCCTGGCACCTCTCTTGGCCAAATCCAAAGCAGTAGCCTTTCCAATACCAGTGTTGCTTCCTAGGGAACAACAAAACACATTTGAATGTAAAGGTCTTCAGCATGAACGCACTTGAAACGTGAGCACACTAAAACAGTCCCCATCACATAGCAAGGCAACAAAAGTTGCCTAACTAACCTGTTACAATAGCAGTCTTCCCTTTTAGTGTCACAGAGCTCATGCATCTTGACCCTCTGATCACATTGTAATAAAGTATCAAATACAACGCAATCCCTACTGCCAGAATAGATAGCAAAACCGACATTATTACAGTACCGAGCGTTGTTTCTAAATTCGGGATGGTAATTTCGTTTGCAAGCTATCAAAGTTCAGCAGGCTAACTCGTTGCATGCGTTGTTTTAGTTTTATTACGCCATCAATCGCTTCCGGGTTTAATTTATACTTGCTGTACGAAAGTATTCCACCAGATGTCGTATTTGTAATCTGCATGAAAAACCGGCTCCATATTGAGGGCATACATTCCAATCTAAACCATTTGTGGGCGCTGTATTGGTTTACTTCCTTTTTAGGATATTTCTGTACTTAGTTATGTCATAAAATAAATAAACCTACTGTACATTCAATTTAATGCATAGAAAATATCATTACATTTTTACATTTTAGTCATTTAGCAGACGCTCTTATCCAGAGCGACTTACGGTTAGTGAGTGCATACATTTTCATACTGGCCCCGTGTGTAACAATGTTCAGGTAACCTTAGCGAAATTAGCTAATTATCAAGGTAAATGTTTATATTTTAAAAGTAACTCAATTTATTTTCCTCTGAGTACTTTTTCCACCCCTGGTTTTTTATTCCAATCCACATGATCAAGGCAACAAACAGCATCAGCTCCTCTGCTATATCCACATGATCTATAAATCCTCTTCCCCAGGCTCAATTGTAGAGAACTGACTGGGGATGAGATGACATGATCTAAACCAGGGGTGTCAAACGTACGGCCCGCGGGCCGGATTTTTTTTATTTAAATTCAATAAAATAAACTGCTGTTCCAATTGCGTCCACTGGATGGCGCAATAGCAATTGTGTTAAGCAAGCAAACTGTTTATACCGGGGCAGAGCAAGTAGGTCAAGCACGTGCAGCCAATGAGCTACTTTGTTTTGCCCGCGATATTTATTACGGCTTCTACTTTTAACATTATGTGCTTTGGCACCCTCATTGCCCCAATATGTCTCTGTCAAAAAAGAGAAAAGTGGACACAGAGTGCAGAGTGTTCCAAGAAAAATGGTCATCCTATTTAATCACGGAATTGAATGGGAAAGCTGTATGTTTGGTGTGTTCAGAGCATGTTGCAGTGCTGAAAGAATATAACCTTCGTCGCCACTATGTGAGTCTTCATGCCGACAAATATGACAACTTTCAAGGACAGCGGAGATGAGAGAAGGTGAATGAACTGTTGGCGGGTCTGAAGAAACAGCAGTCTGTGTTTACTCACAGCCGAGACATCAGTGACGCTGCAGTGAAAGCTAGCTACCTCATTGCTAATGAAATCGCAGTGGCTTCAAAACCATTTAGTGAGGGTGAATTTGTAAAAACATGCATGATGAAGGCAGCGGAGATTGTGTGCCCTGAAAAGCGGCAGGCTTTTGCAAATATCAGCCTGACAAGAAACACAGTTGCAGACAGGATTTCCGATCTTTCAGTGGATTTGGACAGCCAGTTGAAGCAAAAAGTAAAGTCATTTATTCAGTTTTCGGTTGCAATTGATGAAAGCACGGACATTACAGATGTTGCACAACTGGCCATTTTTTCATCCGCGGAGTTGATGACACATTGACCGTCACCGAGGAGTTCGTGGAGTTGGTGCCGATGACAGATACAACGACAGCAGCTGATATTTTTACCGCGCTGGACAGGGTCGGAGTGGACTGGTCCCGCGCTGTCAGCCTGGCTACAGATGGTGCGCCCTCAATGATCGGGAAAAAAGCAGGCGTTGTGACAAAGTTCAGAGAGAAAGTGCAATCTGCAAATGGAGGACGTGATTTTTTGACTTTTCACTGTATTTTGCACCAGGAGGCTTTGTGTTGCAAGTCATTAAAGATGGATAACGTCATGAAGGTGGTCATCCAAACTGTTAATTTCATCCGATCCAGAAGCCTGAATCACCGTCAGTTTGACAGCCTTCTCAGAGAGAAAGACCACATCTGTGGCCTGCCATACCACACTGAGGTAAGATGGTTAAGCCGAGGTGCTGTGCTGAGGCGTTTCTTTGATTTACGAGAAGAAATTGAACAGTTCATGGAAGAAAAGGGCAAACCAGGGTTAGAATTTCATTCCGCAGAATGGATGCCGGACCTTGCATTTATGGTGGATGTTACAGAGCACCTGAATAACTTGAACAAACAGCTGCAAGGGCGCAACAAAGTTGTCACGCAGTATTATGACAGCATACGTTCTTTCAAGTTGAAGCTGTCATTGTGGGAGACGCAACTTGCCGGTGGTGATGCAGCTCACTTCCCCTGTCTGAAAAATGTGTGCGCGACCCAACATGTGGCAGACATGAAGCGGTTCAAAGATAAAATAACGGGACCGTTACGGGAGTTTGAGCAACGCTTTCAGATTTATGTTTATATGTTTTTATGTTAATGTGCTATTGTTTTTAATTGTTTTTATTTTATTTGTATATTTAACCTATTATTGACTCTGTGGTTCTTGCACTTGTTTGGGGAACAGGATTTCATTATTTTTATCTACATTTCTGCCTGAGAAATGACACCCTGATATAGTTCTGTGATCTGTGATATACTTCTGTGAATCACTGAGGCATTGTGTGTTTGTGTGTTCTTTGTCCTCAGAACTTTCAAATAACTTGAGGTGTTTTATGATTAATAGTGATGTTGTGCTTTTGGACACACTGTCCTCAGGCTCCAGCTTTATGTTTATATGTTTTTATGTTGATGTGCTATTGTTTTTAATTGATTTTATTTTATTTGTATATTTAACCTATTCTTGACTCTGTGGTTCTTGCACTTGTTTGGGGAACAGGATTTCATTATTTTTATCTACATTTCTGCCTGAGAAATGACACCCTGATATAGTTCTGTGATCTGTGATATACTTCTGTTAATCACTGAGGCATTGTGTGTTTGTGTGTTCTTTTTCTTTAGAATTTTCAAATAAACTTGACGTGTTTTATGATTAATAGTGATGTTGTGCTTGTACTATTTTGGACACACTGTCCTCAGGCTCCAGCTTTATGTTGTATGTTGATCGTATTAAAACAAAGAAAACAATCTGAAGTTGTTGTTTTTAAGTTATATATACCATGATTTTTCCGGTCCGGCCCACTTGGGAATAGATTTTCCTCCATGTGGCCCCTGAGCTAAAATGAGTTTGACACCACTGATCTAAACTATGAATGGATGCACTGTTCAGTGCTGGCACAATTATTATACAACCACCAATGAATGCACAAAAGCCTCATTGAGGAACATGTACTTTAGTCTTGAATTGCCCAGTAAGCCTATGCTTCTTCATCCTGTTTGCCACTTAATGATTGAATTGATTCCAACATCCACAGTTTTGGGTGGGTCCTTTAATTATGTTCCAGATATGATAACTAGTAGGGCAGAGTGGAACACCCTAAGTAATGTGTGGTAGGCCTAAGAGCTTAGAAGTTAATGCACAAGATCAATCCTATACATTAATCACACATGAGTAAGCACTTTTAGAATGTCTTTGACACTGTTGGTTGATTGAAAGGGTAAATCCACACAAATGTCAAAAAATCATCTTGCACACTGAGGAGAGGTTGAGTCACAGGGGGAGGCTTTCATGAGAGTCCACACACTCTCACTGACTACTCATATAGTAACTTCTTGGCCACCGTGCCCTCTCTGGCCTTAGGATAGAAGTTCCTGACTGTACAGTTGGAGAAGTAGCGTCCAGAGAGGGGCTCCAGGCCCTCCTGCAGGGCACAGTGCAGGTTGGTCTGACACCCCGCCACAGTGTTCTTGAAGAAGAACATGGAGATGGGCTTCAACAGCATTAATAATACAGAGTCTGCGTAACGGCCCAGCTCAGTTTAGATTATACCCAGGAGAAAAAGACACAAGCACTAGAGTTGAGTTATCCATCCATCCATAAAAATAAATCAATTTTAGTCCTTTAGCAGACGCTGTTATCCAGAGCGACTTACATTAGTGCATTAATCTTAAGATAGCTAGGTGAGACAACATATCGATGTAGGATTTATTTAAGATACTCTTTAAAGAGGTAGGTTTTCAGACATTGACGGAAGATGGTCAGGGACTCCGCTGTCCTGACATTAGGGGAAAGCTTGTTCCACCATTCGGGTGCCAGGACAGAGAATAGGGGGAAGCTTGTTCCACCATTGGGGTGCTAGGACAGAGAAGAGCTTTGACTGGAACATTAGGCATTTTATTCTACTTTACATTCAACCAAGGTAGAACTAACTTGAAAACTGCAGATACCATTACATTCAAAAGCTTTATACACCTGACATAGCAGCACAGACCAGGGTGGAGGCCGTAGCAGGTAACATTTGTGTCCTACAGTTTCTTGGCCAGCTCATGGGTAAAGAGAACATTACACAGCTTGCTGTTGCAGTAGATGTTAAAGACATCCATGACAGACTTGCCAACTCCTAACTCCTTGTGAGTGCTCAAGCAGTTTAAATCAATTTTGTCATCTTCCCTAAGCCTGTGGTACTTACTGGAAAATTAGTATTAGTAGGATTCATGCATTGTAGGGGAGACCAGGGGCAATAGAAAATAAATAATAAATAAAAAATAAATTGCTCAGAGACAACTTGAACTATAAGTATCCTAATCACTCATACCATTTATAGGTCAGTAAATAAAACCGTATTAAAAATTTTACTTATTTACATAAGTATTCAGACCCTTTGCTATGAGACTAACTTGAGTTCAGGTGCATCCTGTTTCCATTGATCATCCTTGAGATGTTTCTACAACTTGATTGGAGTCCACCTGTGGTAAATTCAATTGATTGGTCATGATTTGGAAAGGCACACAGCTGTCTATATAAGGTCCCACGGTTGACAGTGCACGTCAGAGCAAAAACCAAGCCATGAGGTCGAAGTAATAGTTCGTAGAGCTCCGAGACAAAATTGTGTAAACGCACAGAACCGGGGAAGGGTACCAAAACATTTCTGCAGCATTGAAGGTCCCCAAGAACACAGTGGCCTCCATCATTCTTAAATGGAAGAAGTTTGGAACCACCAAGACTCTTCCTAGAGCTGGCCGCCCGGCCAAACTGAGCAATCGGGAGAAAATCGGGACTATTTAATCCATTTTAGAATAACGCTGTAACGTAATGAGGAAAAAGTCAAGGGGTCTAAATACTTTCCAAATGCACTGTATGTAATGATTTTGCAAGAAATATAATTATTTCTAAGTACGTAACCAATATTTACAGCAACACCCATTTGTGCATGGCCATTCGGTTCCTCTCAAAACATCTGAATAGTCTGTGCCCAAATGATATCTGTTGACAACTTATTTGGCACTCCACAGGACCCCAAGGCTATTTAATGTTAGTTTTGTATAATTCATAAAATCCTAACGTTAATATCACATTTATTTTCGTCATTTGGCTCAGGTTCATTTTAACACTGTGTTACAATTGCCCCCAACCCAGCAGCCATGACACAAAACCTCATGTTCCTAGCAAGAGACAAAAATAATGTCAATGTTTAGCTAACAAATTATGCTAGTTTGAATTCTTGGACATTAAGGCTCAGGACAGTACAAGAACAATACAGTGCAATATTTGGCTTAAACTCTTCAAGCAGGGAGAACCTAAATGGGCATGTACTGAGAGAGTTGAATCACTCTAGCTTGTTTCTGTTTAGAGAAATTCTAATTATTACAATTCCAAATCAAATAAAATTATATTTGTCACATTGGCCAAAAAAAACAACATGTGTAGGCAGACCTTACCATTGCCCCCGGTCTCCCCTACAACTTGCAGCAGAAAGAGTGATTTGTTGAGTTTCACAACCAGGGAAATCATTCAAAAATCCCCAATGAATAATATACATAGACAAATGAATTTAAGAATGCTATATACATTAAATTATGAATAGGCAAAGAACATTACATATACTCAACATTATTACATAACAGTGCCATGAACTTTCCTCCTATGTCAATGAGGGGAAACACAGGAAGCATTGACAAAAACAGACACCTGTTACAATGACAGTTTTCCCATGCTGTTTCACATTTCTTTTGCATATTGCCCCTTTGACAAATATATTATGAAAAATCATATAGGCCACCAATACCACTCCAACAACAAGAAGGCAGCCATTGAGCTTTCAGATCCTGTGCAGCACTCAGTAAAGAGAATCCATAGAACACACTGCTCACTCTAGAATTCCTTACTGTACAGTTCCTCTCATAGTTACTGTATAGCGCAAAGAGCTCTACTTTTGTTGAATTCCAGGAAAGCTTAAACCACACCCCATAGGACTGTACAGGCGTATTTGAGTTTGGATTCTTCTACTGAAGCTTTCATGCTCATCTCTCTCTTTTCTGCAGGGCAGGCATGAACGTGGTCTTTAAATTCAGCTGATAAATGGTTAGGACACTTAGGCAGAAGCTATGAATAGTACAGTTTGAGCCATCAAAAAACAATCAAGAGCAAACATTTTCTTAACAGTTTAGGTTTATTTACTGTTTAGTAAGAAATATAAATAAAAACATATCTAATGAAATGTCCCATAAATTAATGTTAGGTAAGAAAAAGCAAGCACTTCATCCATATATTTCTATGTATGTACATTTCATAATGCATAACCCAAAAAATTACATTTTTGTTTTGAAAGAATTCAGCATATTGGTTAGTAGCTTGCAGTCCAGTTAAAACTGTTGAGTCAGAGTGATTTTCTTAAGAGGATAGGCCACTCAGACTCTCACTGACTTCCCATAGCTTCTTGGCAACCGTGCCCTCTCTGGCATTAGCATAGAGGTTCCTGACTGTACAGTTGGAGAAGTAGCGTCCAGAGAAGGGCTCCAGGCCCTCCTGCAGGGCACAGTGCAGGGTGGTCTGAGAACCCGCCACAGTGTCCTTGAAGAAGAACATGAGGAAAGGCTTCATCAGAATCATGAACACCTTGCTGACGTCACGAAACAGTTCAGAGTTAATGGCTCCTGAAAAACAAAATAAACACATGTTGGTTAAAACTTGCAAACCAATAAATGTACTATTATTCAGCCACCTGGGGATCAGAGGAGGCTGGTGGGAGGAGCTATAGGAGGATGGGCTCTTAGTAATGGCATACAGTAAATAGAACAGAGCCAAACATGTGGTTTCCATATGTTTGATACCGTTCCATCAATTCTACTCCAGCAATTACAATGAGCCCATCCTCTTATCGCTCATCCCACCATCCACACTGCTGGGGATGCATAAAAATTCTGATTTTCAACTAATCAATACAGGACAAGTCCTTCTAACCCATACTTGGGCACAATGAAGCCTTCATACATTACTGGGATATAGTGCACTGACCTGGGTGAAGGGTGTAGCAGGTAACATTTGTGCCCTGCAGTCTCTTGGCCAGCTCATGCGTGAAGAGAACATTACACAGCTTGCTGTTGGTGTAGATGTTGAAGACATCTGTGGCAGACTTTCCAACTCCCAACTACTTGTGCGTGCTCAAACAGTTGAAGTCAATGGTGCCGAAGTTATGAACGATGGATGACACGTTGACCACTCGACTCAGACCACACTCCTTCAGACGGTCTAACAGCAGGTTGGTCAACAGGAAGGGACCGATGTGGTTGACACCAAAACATCACCCCCAAGCCGTCCTCTGTGGTTCCTGGCATGTAAATACCTGAGACAAAGGAAAAGTCACTATTTACATTTTGGTTTCATTATAAATACCACAAAACATTTTTTACTCAGATTGATACCAGCTGCCTCACTTCCAATACGTCTACACTGGTGTCAGAAATGGGATATTACGTGGATAATATTGGATGGGTATTACATGTGCCATGGTTGGCGGGCTTGGGTAGTTGAGACAGCAGTCCAGCGAGCTCTTTTGGCTGGAGCATAATGTGTAGCCTACAACACCTTGGCTGCATGTTCAATCTCTGTGACATGTTCAGTCTCTGTACACAGGCTCTTGTGACACCTCACTAAGCACTAACTTCAAGGCTGTCTGTACATGACTAAATGCAATGTCATTACAGTGTCTTACAAGGTGGTGTGTATTGAAAGAGGGTTGTAGCGCTGCTGCAAACAACCACTACAAGCCACACCTGCATTGTTGATGAGCAGGTCAAATCTGGGCTCAGTCTTTAGGATGTTTTCAGCAAAGGAGCGAACAGACTTCAGACTCCCCAGATCCAGCTGCATGAACACCACCTCATTGCTCCCACTCTCCTATAGGACACATTTCTATGTGTCACGAGAATTGTGTTATCTCAATGGTTGAACTCAACTATTTCTCAAGCTTTGAATAATTCCCAGAGGTTGTAAGACTAGTTAATAATGAATTAAACAAAGTCCCATTTCTGCAATGAATCAGTTTTTTAAAAAAAAGTGTTTTTATTTTTATTTCACCTTTATTTAACCAGGTAAGCCAGTTGAGAACAAGTTCTCATTTACAACTGCGACCTGGCCAAGATAAAGCAAAGCAGTGCGATAAAAACAACAACACAGAGTTACATATGGGGTAAACAAAACACAGTCAAAAATACAACAGAAAATATATATACAGTGTGTGCGAATGTAGTAAATTATGGAGGTAAGGCAATAAATAGGCCATAGTGCAAAATAGTTACAATTTCGTATTAACACTGGAATAATAGATGTGCAAAAGATGATGTGCAAATAGAGATACTGGGGTGCAAATTAGCTAAATAAATAACAATATGGGGATGAGGTAGTTGGATGGGCTAATTACAGATGGGCTGTGTACAGGTGCAGTGATCGGTAAGCTGCTCTGACAACTGACGCCTAAAGTTAGTGAGGGAGATAAGAGTCTCCAGCGTCAGAGATTTTTGCAGTTTGTTCCAGTGGCAGCAGAGAACTGGAAGGAATGGCGGCCAAAGGAGGTGTTGGCTTTGGGGATGACCAGTAAGATATACCTGCTGGAGCGCAGACTACGGGTGGGTGTTGCTATGGTGACCAGTGAGCTAAGATAAGACGGGGATTTGACTAGCAGTGATTTATAGATGACCTGGAGCCAGTGGGTTTGGCGACGAATATGTAGTGAGGGCCAGCCAACAAGAGCGTACAGGTCACAATGGTGGGTATTATATGGGGCTTTGGTGACAAAACAGATGGCACTGTGATAGACAACATCCAATTTGCTGAGTAGAGTGTTGGAGGCTATTTTGTAAATGACATCGCCGAAGTCAAGGATCGGTAGGATAGTAAGTTTTACGAGGGCATGTTTGGCAGCATGAGTGAAGGAGGCTTCGTTGCGAAATAGGAAGCTGATTCTAGATCTAACTTTTGATTGGAGATGCTTAATGTGAGTCTGGAAGGAGAGTTTACAGTCTAACCAGACACCTAGGTATTTGTAGTTGTCCACATACTCTAGGTCAGACCCGCCGAGAGTAGTGATTCTAGTCAGGTGGACGGGTGAAAGCAGCGTTCGGTTGAAGAGCATGCATTTAGTTTTACTAGTGTTTAAGAGCAGTTGGAGGCTACGGAAGGAGTGTTGTATGGCGTTGAAGCTCGTTTGGAGGTTTGTTAACACAGTGTCCAATGAAGGACCAGATGTATACAAAATGGTGTCGTACGCATAGAGGTGGATCCGAGCGTCACCAGCAGCAAGAGCAACATCATTGATATTCACAGAGAATAGAGTCGGCCCGAGAATTGAACCCTGTGGCACCCCCATAGAGACTGCCAGAGGTCCAGACAACAGGCCCTCCGATTTGACACATTGAACTCTATCTGAGAAGTAGTTGGTGAACCTGGCGAGGCAGTCATTTGAGAAACCAAGGCTATTTAGTCTGCCAATAAGAATGCAGTGGTTGACAAAGTCGAAAGCCTTGGCCAGGTCGATGAAGACGACTGCGCAGTACTGTCTTTTATCGATCGCGGTTATAATATCGTTTAGGACCTTGAGCGTGGCTGAGGTGCACCCATGACCAGCTCGGAAACCGGATTGCATAGCGGAGAAGGTAAGGTGGGATTCGAAATGGTCGGTGATCTGTTTTTTAACTTGGCTTTCAAATACTTTCGAAAGGCAGGGCAGGATGGATATAGGTCTGTAACAGTTTGGATCGAGTGTGTCACCCCCTTTGAAGAGGGGGATGACCGCGGCAGTTTTCTAATCTCTGGGGATCTCAGACGTTACGAAAGAGAGGTTGAACAGGCTAGTAATAGGGGTTGCGACAATTTCGGCGGCTAATTTTAGAAAGGGTCCAGATTGTCTAGCCCAGATGATTTGTGGGAGTCCAGATTTTTCAGCTCTTTCAGAAAATCAGCTGTCTGAATTTGTGTAAAGGAGAAGCGGGGGGGGGGGGGGGGGGGGGGGGGGGGGGGGGGGGCCATGGGCAAGTTGCAGCAGAGGGTGCAGAGCTGGTGGCCGGGGTAGTGGTAGCCAGGTGGAAAGAATGGCCAGTCGTAGCAAAATGCTTCTTGAAATTCTCGATTATTGTAGATTTATCGGTGGTGACAGTGTTTCCTAGCCTCAGTGCAGTGGGCAGTTGGGAGGAAGTGCTCTTATTTTCCATGGACTTTAGAGTGTCCCAAAACATTTTGGAGTTAGTGCTACAGGATGCACATTTCTGTTTGAAAAAGCTAGCCTTTGCTTTCCTAACTGATTGTGTATATTGGTTCCTGACTTCCCTGAAAAGTTGCATATCGCGGGCTGTTCGATGCTAATGCAGTACGCCACAGGATGTTTTTGTGCTGGTCAAGGGCAGTCAAGTTGAGGAGAACCAGGGGCTATATCTGTTCTTAGTTCTGAATTTTTTGAATGGGACATGCTTATTTAAGATTGAGAGGAAAGCACTTTTAAAAGAACAACCAGGCATCCTCTACTGACGGAATGAGGTCAATATCCATCCAGGATACCCGGGCCAGGTCAATTAGAAAGGCCTGCTCGCTAAATGTTTTAGGGAGCGTTTGACAGTGATGAGGGGTGGTCGTTTGACCGCGGACCCATTACGGACGCAGGCAATAAGGCAGTGATCGCTGAGATCCTGGTTGAAGACAGCGGAGGTGTATTTAGAGGGTAAATTTGTCAGGATGATATCTATGAGGGTGCCCATTTTTACAGATTTAGGATTGTACCTGGTAGGTTCGTTGATCATTTGTGTGAGATTGAGGGCATCTAGTTTAGATTGTAGGTTGGCCGGGGTGTTAAGCATATCCCAGTTTAGGTCACCAAGCAGTACGAACTCTGAGGATAGATGGGGGGGGGGGGGGGGGGGGTAATCAGTTCACATATGGTGTCCAGGGCACAGCTCGGGGCTGAGGGGGGGTCTGTAGCAAGCGGCAACAGTGAGAGACTTATTTCTGGAAAGGTGGATTTTTAGAAGTAGAAGCTCAAACTGTTTGTGCACAGACCTGGATAGTATGATAGAGCTCTGCAGGCTCTCTCTAAAGTAGATTGCAACCCCACCCCCTTTGGCAGTTCTATCGAGACGGAAAATGTTGTAGTTGGGGATGGACATTTCTGAATTTTTGGTGGCCTTCCTAAGCCAGGATTCAGACACTGCTAGAACATCAGGGTTGGCGGAGTGTGCTAACGCAGTGAATAACCAAACTTAGGGAGGAGGCTTCGGATGTTAACGTGCAAGAAACCAAGGCTTTTACGGTTACAGAAGTCAACAAATGATCACGCCTGGGGAGTAGGAGTTATACTGGGGGCTACAGGGCCTGGGTTAACCTCTACATCACCAGAGGAGGAGTAGAATAAGGATACGGCTAAAGGCTTTAAGAACTGGTCTTCTAGTGCGTTGGGTACAGAGAAAAAAAGGGGCAGATTTCCAGCGTTGTAGAATATATTCAGGGCATTATGTACAGACAAGGATATGAGTACAGTGGAGGTAAACCTAAGCGTTGGGTAACGATGAAAGAGATGGAGGCACCAATTGAGTCGGTCTCTGCGTGTATGGGGGGTGGGACAAAGGAGCTGTCTAAGGCAGGTTGAGCTGGGCTGGGGGCTCTACAGTGAAATAGTACAATAAGAAATAACCAAAACAGCAATAAGCAAGGCATATTGACATGGGAGAGAGGCATAAAGCAATCACAGGTGTTATTTGAGAGAGCTAAGACAACAGCTGGTAATGGTGACAAAGTTTGGGATGAGGCTAAACATAAACAGGATGCGGTACCGTATAAAGGAACAGTCCAGCAGGCATCAGCTGTATAGCGGAGTTATCATAAGGTCCGGTGAACAGCAATAGGAGAGTTCGGAGGTAGTTCGGGGGCTGCTACAGCACTGGCGAGCAAGAGGCCCGGCTTGCGTGTGCTAGCAGGCCAGGGCTAGCAGATGGATCTTCGTGGTCGACGTCGTAACGGGAAGCCTGTTGAAACCACATCAGACGATTTCGTCGGCAAACCAGTTGTGTTGGATCGGCGGGGCTCCGTGTCAACACTAGGAGGTCCCGTCCAGTTGACAGAGAGGTAGATAGCCGGGAGATGGGCCTGGCTCGAGGCTAGCTCAAGGCTAACTGGTGCTTGCTAAGGGGCAATGGTAATTAGCCAACGACAACAGCCATTTGGTTGCAGCTAGCTGGTTGAGTGATTCCGGCAGAAAATCCGATATGCTCTGGGTCGATAGCACGCTGTGCAGACTGGCCGACAAATTGTCTGAGAGCTGGCTGGTGGGTAATGCAGGCCACGGACAATGGTGAAGACGCTAATAGCAAGTAGCCATTCGGTTGCAGCTAGACTAGTTTCAGCTTAAGGTTCTTGATAAAAGTTATAAAGAAATAATAGAATCCTTTCCACATTGGGTGAGGCGGGTTGCAGGAAAGTATTTAGTTAAAGAAAATTTAGAAATATATACACAAAATAGACCAAAATAAATAAATAACTGGCTATTTACACAAGGACACAGAAAAAAACACGACCGCAGTGCTACGCCATATTCATGAGAGTTCTGCCCCAAAATGGGTGCACAGTCTTTTTATACTCACACAAGTTCTTATCATAGGCTACTCCTTGCTCAAGCAGGCTGCATTTTTACACTATTCCCATACATAGTTATCGCGTTCTCACAATATTCTGCAAGCCTCTCACTCCCCCTCCCTGTGTGGGGACATCTGTTTTTGAAACCAGTCTCCTGTTATTGGTTTCAACGTTTGCACTTCTGCTTGCCTAACTACAAGAGAACACAATTTGGTGGTTGTTTTTAACTTTTAGTCATTTAACTTATATAATTTCTCTATCACTATGTTACTGTACTATTTTCATACACACAGATTATAATTGAGAAATCCTAAAACCGCTGCAGAAAAACAAAAAATGACTAGCCATAAACTACTGGTCATTATTGGGGCTAAACTGGTCAGTGTTCAATCTCCTCTCACCCTCTTGATGTCAGCGAGCGCAGCCTCAGCTCTTGGTTTGCTGCGGCAGGCCAGGATGACCCTGGCACCTCTCCTGGACAGATCTAGCGCTGTCATCTTCCCTATGCCTGTGTTACTTCCTGGAGAAAGTGGGCATAAAACATTATTAAAAGAACAATCTTACATGGGAGGGTGAAGAACATAAGTTTATGATATTACTCTTAAATTTATGCAGGTGGGAAGAGCAAAAAAACGTGCCATTTTCATTTTTCTTTATTATCCAACATCGATGAATGAAATAGGAATGGAAACCACTGAAAAACGACTTACCAGTTACAATGACAGTTTTCCCATGCAATTTTGCATCTCTTTCCTTTAACCACAACACTGTGGTAAATAAATGCAATCCCGAATACCAAACCGACAACAAGCGAAAAGGTATACATCCTTGTCTCTCATGTGAAAACACCTTTTTGCTTTCAAGAGCGTGTGCAAACTAATTTGTACTCGTGGGAGAGCTCCTGTGAAAATATAGCACACCCTTTATCAGCTACACAGTGGTTTCAGTTGGTTTATCTGGTGATTGCGCAACTGGACAAACCGGAGTCTCTACTCTCTCAGGGCATTGGCCATGGAAGTTAAAACAGTCAAATCAGAGCTAAAGTGTTTTACCCTTAGACCTACATAACCAAAATTACACACACATTATTTATATATATATATATATATATATATATATATATATATATATATATATATATATATATATATATATATATATATATATATATATATATATATACACACACACACAATAGCCAAATCCACTAATTTGAAGGGGTGTCCACATACTTTGTACATATAGTGTAAATTGCAACTGTTACCTTTGACAGAGCTGTACATGACCACCACCTACTGGATAGTTCACTCACAACAACGTTCATTACTGAAAGAAAAGCATTTTAGATTACTGACCCCATGTCTCAAAGTCATCAAAAATGTAGCACGAGGAGGCATTTGTACGGTTGTTCTTAAAAAAATCTCTGTATTTACATTGTTTTAACAGACAGGCAGAAACCGACAAAGAACGCGTATTTACAGAGTACAAGAGTTAAAACGAGAGCTAAAACAATCCGACACTATTTACACCATGGATGACAGGACTCAGAACAGGTTTAACAACAAACTTTTCTGCAACACTACCAAATATCACAAGAAGGAGTCCATGGGAGGTACTGTACACTTAAAAATAAAAATAAAAAACGACCACAATGGTTCATGTACAGGATATCCAACTGAAAAGCACCGAATCAATCATATTTACATGAATATACTGTACATACAAATGTGTGTATAAGCATGTAAGGGTCCATGAATGTATAGCTAGCTACCTGTGGTGCAAACGTAGCAACAACAACAAAAACATGTGAGTACTACAATTTCAATATCACAAAATAAAATGTTTTGGCTACATGAGCTGGCTGAAAAATAAGGAAATGTTATATAATATATATATAACTAGACTGGCAAAAAAAATTGACAAATATTTGAAGTCCAATGATCGAGAGGAATTGACAAAAACTTTCAGTCAATCTAAATCAGTAGTTCTCAACTGGTTTTGCCTCGGGACCCAAATTGAACCAAATAGTCTCAGTCGCGACCCAATATCCGCATCATGAAAAACAAAATCGCCAAAATGCAATCCGGAAAACTTTTGAATGCTATATTGATAGTAAATGGCGGCAGGTAGCTTAGTGGGTAAGAGCGTTGTGCCAGTAACCGCAAGGTCGCTGGTTCTAATCCCCGGGCCGACTAGGTGAAAAATCTGTCGATGTGCCCTTAAGCAAGGCACTTAACCCTAATTGCTCCTGTAAGTCGCTCTGGATAAGAGCGTCTGCTAAATGACAAATGTAAAATGTAGCAATTATATGACAAGGGAACAACATTCCCACCTCTTTCATTGTCAATAATTAAATGTTGCCCATATTCTTGATGTTAATAAACTCACTGGTGTGAGACCACAAAATCAACCAAAATAGTGCTGCTAATAGCTCTATATTGAAAATACTGTGATTGAAGAGATACATTTTTTATAATTGTAAGTTCATTATCATTTCTACACACTTTCTACCTGGTTTAAGTCATCTAAGTTTAGACTAGTATTTCTTCATACATTTTTACTCAGACAGCCTCCCATGACCCAAATTTGGGTCGCGACCCACCAGTTGAAAATCGCTTATCTAAATAACAGATTTGAGATACTGATTTTAATGCGAAAGTATAAACAAAATAAATTAAAATATATTTTTTCCCTGTGTACCAACCAGCTCTCTAGGGTTCCCTTAGGTTTGACTGGAAAGATTTGAAAAAGAGAGCATTTGGGCTATGGAACAGAGTTGCACTTGGTGGAGTTTGATAGTCTGTCTGCCCCCTCTTGGCTGGGGGTGGTATTGGCAGGGGTGGTTTTGGCAGGGGTGGTATTGGCGGTGGCAGATCCCTCTTCTTTGGGCTGCTTGCTGGCGAACTCAACAATGCTGAAGACAAACTGCATGCAGCCCAGTTTGATGTAGCTGCCGTGGTGGAGCAGCGCTGTGCCCTCCCAGCCGGCCCCGCTGCCACCGATCAGGCTGGAACTGCTAGCCTTGCAATTACAGGAGAGCCTGGGTCCTCCCTGGGGCTGGCTGCTCATCACTCCCCCTGATGGCATCAGACCAGTCCTGGGGCCTGGCCCAGCCTCAGCCCCCTCCTCCTGCTCTCTCATCTTACAGCGGCCTGAAGAAAGAGGGCACCATCACTCACAAGTCTCCTACAGACACACAGGGCTGGCCAAACCACACACACCCCACCTCTACAGGTTTAAGGTGATGGGGCATAACATACACCCACCTGCATGTTGCACACAGGAGAGACATGGGGTTTCAAACTCAGCTAAATTGCTAGTGTGTGTGTGTACACATATGCTGTGTGTTACTTACGGACAATGCCCTGCACTTTGGACACCAGGCCATTAGCCGGGCTAGGGGAGGCCTTTTCAGAGAAGTCACAGGAGTAGAGCACGTTGTCCACCGTGGTCCCATGCTCACTGTAGTTGAGCAGCTCGTAGTGCTTGGTGTTCTACACACAGGTACAAGATAACCATCAGTCATGTTGTCTGTAGTGCTACTGTTAATTCAAATAGTGCTCACTGCTCAGGTCATAGCAATGGGAAAAATAATTTTTGTTCGGCAAGCTTTCAGTGTCTCAAACAGGATAGACAACCTACCCCGTCGTAAAAGATGCAGGCGTGTTTTCCAGATACATAATTACAATGCCCATAGTTTGTAAGGCACACATCCATGTCAGCACCTACACAGGGTTGTCAGAGAGAAAGACTGATGAGACTTTGTTCCATGTTGAGTAAAGATCACAGTATTTCATAACACAGCATGGGCGGTCCTTACCAGCTCCTATGTACAGGGTCCTATAAGACATGTTGATGGCTCCTCCCTTCCCCATGAGTGGATAGAACGTTGCTCTCGCCTGCACCTCCTTCTGTTGTTCTGTGATTGCTACAGATTGTGGAGGATTACATTTTATTGTATAACATTCCTATGCCACTAAAATGAAACTGCCAGACGGGGGGGGTCTTACCCTCTGTGCGTGGTGCGGGAGATTGAGGTTTGAGGGCGACGGTGGGAGGAGGGGTAGCGGTTAGACAGCTGCCTTGGGGGGTTGGGGCCACTTTGGGGGGGAACAGCTGCTGTATCCTCTGCCAGGCCAGGAGTTTGACTAACTCCTCATCCAGGTTACTCACCTCGATCTCTGTATGAACAAAAACGTCAACAAGTTTCAACGTCATCATAGACTTCACTTGAAACAATCCTGTATCTCAGCTATTATCTGACAGCAGCATTACAGGCCATTTAATCAGCATGGCCGAAACATTAATGCACTGATGCAACTTTTTATAAAGTACACATTTTTAAACTGGACAGCAAGAGATGCTCATCACCTAGGCCTAATTATGAACAGTGGTACTGTTAGAATGGGGTTGAGGTAGCTACTTACCCCCATCCCCTTCCATCATGGCCTTCATGCCTCCAGACAGGTCTGCTATGGAGGAGGAGGAGATGGAGCTGGGTAACATGGAGCTGCCCTTTAGATCTGGCCCTGGGGAGAAACCGTGAGGTGTGGTGGTGGGCTGTCTTGCTGTGCTGGAGTCTTTGACGGCTCTGGGTGGGGTGAAGACATGGACACCCGGGGTGGGGCTTGGGCAGAGCGTCAGCTCACTGCAGCAGCTCAGAGGGGTGGCCTGAGCCCCTGCCTTGCCTGGAGGAGTCCCGTGGGCCTGGCTCTTGACGTCCTGCCCTGTAGCTGCACACGTCGAAGGGGGACAGCCTTTCTGAGTGCAAGACTCCAGGGGGCTGCCCCTCTCCGTTTTAACCACAACCCCTCTTCTCAGGTGGTTGGGTAGCCCCAGAGCAGAGGTTGGGAGTGAGGCTGGAGGGGTGAGTATGTGCAGCTGGAGCTCTGTCTGTCTGCATGCATCTGAGGCAGCGTCACACACTACCGGCCCGTTGGCTTGTACAGGCTGTTCCGTTAGGGGCCCGTTGACTTTCCTGCACGTCAGACAGTTCTGACATGGCCTCACCGTGCAGCTGCAGCTTTCCTGGCCCTGTGAGAGTTCCTTCAGTACCGGGGCCCCCTGGGTGCCATCAGATGTACGGCAGGGCTTAGAGCAGGGGGAAGGCAGGGCAGAAGCTGTCCTTTCTGCAAGGGGCAGAGAGCTGGTCTCCTCTAGAGCAACACAGGGCTTAATGTCTTTCTGTTCCTTGTCTGTCTGTTCAGAGTCCCAGTCTGACAAGGACTTCTGCTTGCCAGATAAATGTCGCATGATGCTGCACTGGAGCGCCATGACGTCTCGAAGCCACTGAACAACAAAGAAAAAAACATTTCAGTGAAAAGAACAAGCACCTTCACCCGTCCAGTAACTCCAAATAAACATACATTTACAGTTATTACACATTCAATAATTTGCAGTTAATCCCTAGCATGTCTCCTATGCTCCTAGCTGGGCCAGAGCCCATTGATTTGTTTATCAAGTGCTTCAGATGTGTCTCAGGCACAGCCCAAAGGAACCACTGAATCCCAGTGTAGTAGACAGTTACTAGTGGGTGAGTTTCTGCTGTGTCTGCCATGCCTACCTCCTGTTGCTCCGCCTGGCTGGTAAAATGCTGAGGGGAGCAGTCCTGGTTTGGGACGCCATTACATATCAGCTCCCCGTTACGCACCCCTGCTGGAGCCAACATGGCCGGGGGGTTCTTGTACTGGGACTTAACAGCGTCGGGTACCTGTACGGCACACACACATTATATTATTTACAGGAGCAGTGAAGTCCCATTGTGGTTCTTCACATTCATAATTCATTCACTCTTAAAGCAGCTTAGTTGACAAATCAATAATTTATTGAAAATCTGTCTTCATCACCACTACAGTATTTCCAAGTGAAGACAAGCAAAAACTGATTTCATAACATTATATGGCTTTTACTCTGGGACAGATTCAGCATAAGCTACCTTGAGCGCCTTCGTCTTGTGGTGGACACCGCTGCGGACAGGCGGGTTCTGTCGGTGGACCCATCGCAGGAAGTCCACCTTGACGGCATGCTGGGATATCCTGTCCTGGAACTGGTCTAAGAGCTGGCAGCGGCTGGTTAGGGACATGCTCCTCTGCTTCAGCTGGAGAACAGGACAGGAGGCCATGTCAGGAACAGAGCGACGTCTATCCCTGAATCAACCCTTAGCCCAACACCATGCACTTGTAACAAGTCTACAAACCCTAAAGCTCAGCTGGAGAACAGGTCACGTCAGTAACGGAATAACTTCTACATACTACGGTTGAGAGATATCACCCAAACACAACTACAAACCCTTTTCCTTTACAGAGAAAACACAGCCATTCCTGTCTAAAAATCACCATATCCTTACTGTTTTTAGGCCTGCCAAAAAACTGAAACCCAATTCCATGCATGAGGATGCTTGGCCACCAGATAATGCCAGGGGGTTGGCTGCTCCGCTTACCACCAAGTGCTCCATATGGTTGGGGCACATCCATCTGCCTGTGGGCATGGCAGTGAGTGGGGGGTCCAGGCAGTCCATGTGGAAGAGCAGAGGGCAATAGTCACACTGAACCAAGGGGGCCATTCTACAGCTCCTATAGGACAGAGAGGAGCACAGAGAGGAGCACAGAGGAGGACAGAGAGGAGCACAGAGAGGAGCACAGAGAGGAGCACAGAGAAAGACAGATTGGAGGACAGAGAGGAGACGGTAAGATTGGATTAGCAAGGTCAGCCAACTACTGCACGCAGACACATACACAAACTCTGAAAATATAAGTGGTGGAGTCTATTTAGATTCCCCAAATACAGATTGTATTTGAAAAATGTGTGTTGATATAACTAACGATGACATTGCGGGTTTGGTTGACTAATCATACCTTGTGCAGGAGAAGCACACCCTGACTGGCAGAGGAACGAGGCCGTTGGGGTCCATCTCATGCTGTGGCCTCCTGAAAGTCTTCATGATCAGCTCCTCTTTCCTCCTCCGTTTACTGCTGCCTGGCAGTGCTGTGGTGCAAGTGAGCTCGTTGGGCAGCTGGAACTGCGAGGGGTTCCTCTCCATGGCGGCGGCGATGAGCAGCTGAAAGGGCCTCTTGAGGAGCCGTGGTGTGGGGGTAGGGGTGGTGGTGGTGGTGGCTCGCTCAGGTTCAGAGCCCTGGGCCACCACCCCCTCCTCTGCCTTGGCCACCCCCTCCTCTGCCTTGGCCACCCCCTCCTCTGCATCGTTCTGCTCCTCCGAGGGGGTGGGTGTGCCCGGTCGCTCAAGGCGCTCCAGACGCTCGAGATGCACGGCAGCCACCCGCAGACCAGGTCCTGCTGCTCCGACCCCGGGGGGCAGCCTGTCCAGACGCAGCGTAGTGGTGGTAATGGTGGTGGTGCCCCGCTCCAGTTCAGCTGCAGGGGGGGGTGAGCGTTTGGAGAGGGGCCTCTCCCTCTCCAGCAGGCCATTTGTCGGCTCAGTCTTCTGCTCCCGCTTCTGAGGGTGACAGTCAGATAGCAGAGTCAGGGACCAGCTAGGATCAGACAGTATTCACCACTACTAGGGTTGTTGCAATACTTTGACTCGTATTGATACATTGTAAATGGGTGTTAACAGCCTAACACACCTGAAGCATAATACCATCTCTCTGTTGTGAGCATCATCATGTATTGTTGAACACTCACCTTTCTGCGGACGTTGCAGCGATGACACATCCAGTCACCAGGGGGCAGCATTCCTTCACTCAATGGTGGGTTACTATGGGAACCACAAAGAAACAGCCATAAAAATGACTTTTCTGCTAGTCATTTTATTCATAGGTCCAATGTGGATCAATTACCATGTAAGCTTTATAAGGCCTAATGCCAAACAACTCATAATACACCATTGGTCAGAGCATCTATGTACTTTTGAGGCATAGTCTATAATTGGGGTATAGGGGAGTGATGTAATTGACCTTTGCTGGAACAGGTCTATGTTTGGAAATACCACAACAATGTGTATAGCACATCAAAATACACCTTTTAATACCTAATGCCAAACCCTACTTTCATGCTTGAGTGTTTACTGTTAGAATGGCTTCTTTTCCAAATGCCTGTCTCTATCTAGTGGGCTTAATGTGACACTGCCTGGCATGCCAACTTGTCAAAACAAGAGAAGACTTAGTCAATATTGAATACAGTTTTAACTTTATCTTTTAAATCACTAACGCAGTAAAGGTAAGCACTACTAACATTTCCCACAACAATGTTGTTGTACTCCAGACCGGTGTCAGATACATTTTCACTCTGTCTCGGACAATGAAGACTCAATTTCTTCCCGAGACAGCTCCCATTCAGTCAGCGCATAAAGCCACTTCGCCAGGCCAAATATCCACACTCCTTTCATGACACATTCATTTCTTATGGCCTATTGAAACCTGGGCTTCGTACTTTACTGGTAACTTTAGTGTCCATTACTTTCATTGAAAAATGTTGTCAAATTTCCTTGGTAGGGAAATTGGGAGGGAAATTGTTTGAAAGATGCATGCTCACTGTTAGTAAGGGGAGACCGGAGGAAGTTGTAACATATTTTGTATTTTATCTATTATAGACTTGGGTTACTGGTAATATGAAGAGTGTATCTTTATTTGCCCTCAGCATGCATTTAGTTTCACCATTCTGAATGTCTAAAGAATCAATATGTTCTTCTTAAAATTTGAACACAGAAAATGTTTTACTGTTATCATGGCAATTTCACACAATTACAATCATCGTCTTGAATTGATCTCACTTTAGGTGGTCTACGAACACAACACCTGGCTGTGATGTTCAAACTCTATTCTACCACCCAGTTTATACAGCCTGACATCATAATGAATTGTTGGAATGCTTTCAGATGTTTCTAATCTACTACATATACAGCTATTGCAATGGCAGTTGTCACTGTGATTGTAGGATGTAACTGAAATTAAATCACATTGCTGATGTTACCAGCAATGTCAAATTTTACAGTCCACCCAAGGGGATATGCAAATGTTCTATTTGCAAAGACCAAGATTATACTCAGTACTGTAGGTGGAAAGCCTTGTACTGTAGCCTAGCTCACAACCAAGACCTGCACTACTGGTAGGCTGGACAATAGAACGAGTCAAAATTCACCCAAGGCTGAAAAACGGCCAAAGAACATTGGCTGAGCTGGAACATTAGCGCGAGGCCATAGCAAATGAATTGAAACGAACCATCGCTGTGCCTCTTCTGACTGGAATGATCCTTCAAATTCAATTTTTCCTAAATGGCACCAAAACATTTCTACCTTTTTATTTTACCACTACAATCGGTTCATAGGGCGAAACTGAAAAATAACTTGTGTAGAAAGTAAACATCTGCACCTCGATGGTGCCAAGTGTGCTTATGTCTGCCTAACGAGGAAGTAGGAAAAAAGGGGCAACTTCTGACTTTTTCCTGATCTAGCGATCATTGACAGCAGAGTACGCTGCCCAACCTTATGTCATAAGAAAGAGGAGATTATCCTGATTAAAATGGCGTCCGACTTGAAAAAAATCAAAATATACACATTGTGAGATATTTGGTTAAATATACCAGCATGCCTCTCCATAGGAAAACAATTGGGGGTGCTCAGAGTTCCAAGGGCAGAAAATATTTCAGGGCTAGCGTTTGATGACAATGGAGTACGCTGCCCAGCCTTACATAATTAGAAAGAGGAGATTATCATGATTAAAATGGTGTCCGACTTGAGAAAATCTAAATATAATAACTTCAAACCATTAAAATACATACATTGAGATATTTGGCAAAATAGACAGACGTCCCCATTTCCCCAAAACAATGGCAGTCTGAAAGTTCTAAGAGCAGTCTTATTTAATCAGCTTACCATTTTTCTACTACCATTTGCCTTTTTGTGTTTAACACACAAGCAGGCAGTAACCGAAAGGTGGCTGGATGGAATCCCCGAGCTGACTAGGTGAAAAATCTGTCAATGTACCCTTGAGCAAGGCACTTAACCCTAGTCGCTCTGGATAAGAGCATCTGCTAAATGATTAAAATGTAAATGTAAACTAGGCCTCTACATGAAAGCGTGGCAAGAACATTTTATTTTAATTTTTTTTTAGTTTAGCGCATCTGACTGGTGATTATTTGGCTGGGGTTCAATACTCGCTATAGTTACTATTTTTTTGCTCTCCCAAAAGCAACATAGGCCTAATACAAGATATATAGCTAACTGTAAAGTAATGAGTGACCATTTTAGAAAATCATGGGACATATAGTCTTTGGTTGCATGTTATTTTATGTCAATCATATTGCTGCTTGTAGCCTACAACTGATGCATTGTGGTCTTATGCTGCCATCTATTGGAAATATTTGGCAATTAAAAGTTATTCATTCACGTCAAGACATTGGTGAGGCAGCTGAGAAAGTGTATTTTTCTTATTCATTCCTGAGATCAGCCTCAAACCTGCCAGACCCCAACTGTTGGCCTTTGACAGAGGTTACTAGACCACACCCAGTTCAAGCCACATTTGAGAAATAAAACAAATGTGGCTTGTTTATCAAGTGTTCTGCCTTGCAATAATAAATAATAACAACACAAAAAAGAGGATAATGCATAGATTAACAAAATAATCAAAATGCTATTTAGTACTATAATGGTATTTACTAACATAATATTATTACTCAAATAGTTTCTAAAAGTGTTCTAGGCTACCCTAACCTAGAATGGCCCTGGTGCCGACAACGAAGATGGCGGCCTCGCGACTAGCTCTTAGGAAACTTTGTAGTATTTTGTTTTTTTATGTATTAATTTTTACATTAATAGCTCAGAAAGTGTTTCGTATCATTACATACAGCCGGGGAAAACTATTGGATATCACAGCGGCGGTAACTCACCAGCATTACGACCAGGAATACGACTTTCCCGAAGCAGATCCTTTGTTTGCTCTCCCCAGGGCAACTGAACTGATTCGAGCGGCTGACCCAAACATCGCCGGCGGAGGAGAGGCACTCGGAGCGGCCTGCTGGTTCGACTTAGGAGGCGCCCACACCACCCACCGCTTCCAAGTATACTACTAACTAATGTTCATTCTCTGGTTAACAAGGTCGACGAACTCCGGGCAAGGATTTCTTTCCAGAGAGACATCAAGGCCTGTAACATACTTTGTTTCACAGAAACATGGCTCTCTTGGGATATTCTGTCGAAATCGGTCCAGCCAGATGGGTTCTCAGTTCATCACGCAGACAGGAATAAATATCTCTCCGGGAAGCAGAAGGGCAGAGGTGTGTGTTTCATGATTAACGACTCATGGTGTAATTGTAGTAACATACAGGAACTCAAGTTTTTTTGTTCACCCGACCTAGAATATCTCAATCAAATGCCGACAATATTATCTCCCAAGATAATTTTCTTAGGTTATAGTCATGGCTGTGTATATCCCCCTTCAAGCCGATACTACGACGGCCCTCAAAGAACTTCACTGGACTTTATGCAAACTGGAAACCACATTTCCTGAGGCTGCATTTATCTTAGCCGGGGATTTTAACAAAGCAAATTTGAGGACTAGGCTGCCGAAGTTCTATCAACATATCGACTGTTGTACTCGCGCTGCCAAAATCCTCGACCATTGCTATTCAAACTTACGTGATGGTTATAAGGCCCTCCCCTGCCCTCCTTTGAGCAAATCTGACCACAACTCCACTTTGCTCCTCCCTTCCTATAGGCAGAAACTCAAACAGGAAATACCTGTGCTAAGGACTATTCAACGCTGGTCTGACTAATTGGAATCCAAGCTCAAAGATTGTTTTGATCAAGCGGACTGGGATATGTTCCGGGTAGCTTCCGAAAATAATTTAGACGAATACACTGAAACGGTGACTGAGTTTATCAGGAAGTGTATAGGTGATGTTGTGCCCACTGTGACTATTAAAACCTACCCTAACCAGAAACCTTGGATAGATGGCAGCATTCGCGCAAATCTGAAAGCGTGAACCACCGCATTCAACCATGGCAAGGTGACTGGGAATATGGCAGAATACAAACAGTGTAGCTACTCACTCCGCATGGCAATTAAACTGGCAAAACATCAGTATAGAGACAAAGTGGAGTCGCAATTCAACAGCTCAGACACGAGACGTATGTAGCAGGGTATACAGACAATCACGGACTACAAAAGGAAAACCAGCCACGTCACCGACACACTAGGTCTGAACCCCGCCCTGTGCAACTGGGTCCTGGACTTCCTGACGGGCCGCCCCCAGGTGGTGAAGGTAGGAAACAACATCTCCACTTCGCTGATCCTCAACACTGGGGCCCCACAAGGGTGCGTGCTCAGCCCCCTCCTGTACTCCCTGTTCACCCATGACTGCGTGGCCAAGCACGCCTCCAACTCAATTATCAAGTTTGCAGACGACACAACAGTAGTAGGCTTGATTACCAACAATGACGAGACCGCCTACAGGGATGAGGTGAGGGCTCTGGGAGTGTGGTGCCAGGAAAATAACCTCTCACTCAACATCAACAAAACAAAGGAGATGATCGTGGACTTCAGGAAACAGCAGAGGGTGCACCCCCCTATCCACATCGACGGGACCGCAGTGGAAAAGGTGGAAAGCTTCAAGTTCCTTGGCGTACACATCACTGACAAACTCAAATGGTCCACCCATGCAGACAGTGTGGTGAAAAAGGCACAACAGAGCCTCTTCAACCTCAGGAGGCTGAAGAAATTCGGCTTGGCACCTAAAACCCTCAAACTTTTACAGATGCACAATTGAGACCATCCTGTCGGGCTGTATCACCACCTGGTACGGCAACTGCACTGCCCGCAGGGCTCTCCAGAGGGTGGTGCGGTCTGCCGAACGCATTCCCAGGGGCAAACTACCCACCCTCCAAGACACATAAAGCACCCGATGTCACAGGAAGGCCAAAA